CCCCCTTCTAAAAGTCGAAGGAGAGACCGGAGGGGAGGCCATCAAAAATCAGAGCTGGGCCAGGCACAGAGAGAGAGGAGATTGTGAAGCCGGCCCCGCGCAGCTCCGGCTCCTACTACAACAGCAGCAGCAGCAGCAGCAGGAGCAACAAAAGAAGTAGCAAGCGCCGGTGGAGGATCGAGCCCGAGACTGTGACTCAGTAAAGGGGAGCAGACGAGGATCCGGCGGTTAGAACCTCTATTTCGGGAGTGGGTGAGCAGGAAAGGCCGGTGGCGGGGCAAAGATTGCTACTCACTCTCGTCAGGCAGCTGATCCAACTCCGCCATCTTGAAGGAGCCGCGCCGCTTTTTCAAAGGCTGCCTGTCGCGGTGCATTGTGGGGGAGGAGACGGCGTCCTCTAGCTTTTGCCTGACTGGAGGGAAGGAGGCGGGACGTGCGCGAGTCGTTCGCTTTACCCGGGCTCTACCAAGGCTCGAGCGGGAAGTCGGCTGTCTGGTGTTTCTCTCGTCGGGCTCGGCGAAAAAAAGTTGTTGCAGTTTCATGACAGTTTTACTGTTATCTTTCCACAAGGCTAGAGGAGACGAGTTGGGGAAAATGGACGGCTGCATGCAGTGGCCGCATCTGGTCGATCGCTTCATCTGTGGGTGGCTCCATCACTGGAAGTTGGACACTAATTTGGCCGGAATGGTATAAGATCTCCTGCTCAGGCAGGGGGTTATTATTATTATTTTTTGGTTTGTCAATTGCTTACAAAATAATAGGTATAAGTAAAAATATAGTTATGAATACATGGATACATATAAGAAAAATAAAAGAAATAACAGGACAGGGATAGTAGGCACATTGGTGCACTTATGCACATGCATAATTGGACTAGAAGACTGCCAAGGACTCTTCTAACTCTTGTTATGTATTCTGGACAGCAGATTGTACAGGTAGCCCTGGACTTATAACTGTTTAGTGACTGTTTAATGTTACAACGGCACTAAAAAGTGACATGACCAATTTTAATGCTTCTGACTGTTGCGGGATCACCATGGTGAGGAGATCAAAATTCAGATGCTTTGCAACTGACTCATACTTATGACAATTGCAGTGTCCTGATATCATGTGATCATCTTTGGCAACCTTCTGACTAGCAGAATCAATAGGGAAGCCAGATATAACCGTGTAATTAATTTAACAATGAATGCAATGTATCACTTAACAATTGTGGCAAGAAAGATTGTAAAATGGGGCAAAGTCACTTAACAAACAAATGTCTCAGCAACAGAAATGTTGAACTCAATTGTGATTGTAAGTTGAGAACTATCTGTATTTACAAATACTGTTTGTGTTCTGCTTGCACAAACTGTTCTCAGTGGGATATTACTCTTGGGCAAATACAAAGCAATACCATGGTATCAACTTAGTAATAATTTCTTAATATTTAATGTTGGACTCCTGTGAACTGAGCAATACCAATGGTCTCTTATTACAACTTTTTTTTTTGCAAAGATGTCATGAATACATAATGATCCCATTCAGAGGTGGTATTCGGCAGGTTCTGACCAGTTCTGGAGAACCAGTAGTGGAAATTTTGAGAACCAGCAAATCCCACCTCTGACTGGAGATTTTACAGTATCCTTCCCCTGCCATGCCCACAGAACTGGTAATAAAATTTTTTGAATCCCACCACTGATCCCATTTGACAAAGAACTGGCCTGTGATACCTTTGAGCAGTGCCTCCTCTATATAAACTACCAGAGAATTTGACTTAATGCTTATTTGGGCACTCAACACTGCTAGATATGGCATAGGCCTAACTAGCAATAAAAATGGGGCGTCTGGATATTGCATGGTTTTTATAAGTGATAAAATGCATTTATCATGATTTTCAGATGAGATGCGGCCATCAGATTAAAATATAAGATTGAAATATAAAAATCACAGATTTTAGCATTTCAATTACTGCCATGTACAAGAACAGATATAGGACATTGTGCCGCATGAATTCATGTTACACATATCCCTCTGGGTTAGATGATGTAACCTGGCATTGGCTACTGCACAAATTCTATTGACAAGATAGAATATCATCTGGGATATGTATGAGTTTATTGATCCCAAAGAAGTAGTTGGGGTTCTAGGATATGTACAGTAAGCTCCACAACCTGTTAGATTCCTACTCCATTTGGCTAGTGAAAGCTGCCAGAATGAGAGGAAGTTGGATGCAGATGATGGTTAATATGACCTTTTGAGATGAGGTAATGTCACCTGCCTTAAAGGGAGCTGTTTTGTGCCCTCTCCTTAATCACTTATCCTGGTTGTCTTAATTATCTTTTTTCCCCCAACTTGCCCTTAGGTGAGATTGGTGAAGAAGTGATAGGAGAGCAAGTGAAGAAGACATAATGAGAAGCAGATTATCTCAGTTCTTTTCTTTCTAGTTTCAGCCCTGGTTATAGGATTAAGACTGCATTAATTATTTTTGTTGACCTGGGTGTGAGACAGAGTAGTCCATGTGTAATGCTCCTGATCCTGCTTGATTTCTCGATAGCCTTCATTACTACTGACCCTAATATCCTGAATGGGCAGTTCCAGTTGGTGAAGAGATCAAGCTCTCTACCATAAGGTGCCTTGGGGTCTCTTCTCTGCTGTTCAATATCTACATGAAGCTACTGGGGGATCTAATCCCTTGGATGGAGTTGCACTCCTGCATATAAATCAGTTCTGCAATATGAAGTTTTTCCTGGATTCATGGCTCCTGCAGGAGGAGCAGGTAAAGATGTACTTAAAAGGGCCTGCACAGCTCCACTTTATATGCCTGTTGCAGCCACTCCTGAATTAGAAGTTATTGTTGACAGATCACTCTACTCTTGTAACTCAAGCTATACTACTTGCTGTATAAGCAGCTGCCATCCATGCTGTCCTCTAAATGAAAATGTCTTAAGTTATCTTTCCTAAACTTTAAAGAGCATACATTGATTTAAAATCATTAAACACTTGTTTTACAGGATAGGATGTATAGAGACATTAATTTTTCTGAGATGTAACATGAATACTGATAATTCAGAGCTACTGATAGCAATGCAGATTCTCATTGAAGCTGGATTAACTATGTATTTTGCATGAAATTGCCTGAGATTACCACTTGGCAAATGCAGCATGAAGCAATTATTTCTCCAAAGGGAGTGCTAATTTTTTGTGTGGTAATGTGTTCCCTTCTGACCACAGGCAACCCTTTTTGCCCTGTAAAGCTATAAAAAGCAGATTTATCCTCCCACACATATTTACAAGGTTGACAATCTATATTTTAAAGTTAAAAAATCCTCAAATAGGAAGAGAAAATGTGTTTCTTTGAACTTTTAGAGAAAAGCCAAGGTATAAATTTAATAATTAACAATGGTGTTTTCTATCAGCATTACCAGAAGCAATTTGCCATCACCTGAAACTCATGTCTAGCAAACTGCAACATCCAAGTACTAATTGGCGTCAAACCTCATAGCTATACCAGCTGAGATGTAATTGCATAGGTATTATCCACAAACAATTTGAAATAAAGAGGCAAATATACACACAAATGAACTCTTCAATAAAATGTAATCGCTCAGCCATGTCAGAATAGCACTGATCTTCAAGAATTCCAGAGGACCTCCCTCCTCCAAAGGAATTTGCAAGTTACCAGTACAGTTACCCTTTAAAAGTGTGTGTATGATAATCTGAGAGCAATCAAAGATCCTGGAATTTTTGCTTTATAACGATAGCTGAGCATTGATCATTGATCGTTACATACTGCTCTTCCTATTAGGTCCTCTTTTGTCTGTTAGTCATGTGAAGTGACAAAATTAAAGTATGCAATGCTACCAGAATAAATTGTGTAAGAAAAATAATGTTTATATATTTATACAGAGCAAAGTTTATTTAAAATATATTAAATTTGTTTAATAAATAAAAGGGCCCAATTATTGAATCAGTTTGATATTGCAGCTGTGTGATCTGTAAGCAATATGCAACCCAACTATGCCAGAGATGCCACTGAATGTTAGTGTGCAAAGCAGTGCAGATTTTGGGCAGTCTTTTAAAAGTGTTGTCTGGCAACTTGGTATCACCTCCATGACATTCATTCTTTCAAGCATCACACTGGTGCATAAACTGTTAGTGCATCTATTGCTGTTGTACCATTTGTATTTCCCTTGTTAACATTTTGATCCAACTACATTGTTCCTCATCTAGTTTCTGAGGTACAGTATTTGTTAAGTTACTTCCCAGATTTTCCAGACCAGCTGTTTCTCTGTCCCATATTTCTTTCTGCTTGACAATGATAGAGTAGGCATCCTACTTCTCCCATAATGCAGCATGCAAAGTACTTTTAATAAAGAAATATTGCAATATAGAAGCAGATTGCTATGGTAAGTTGTGGGTGTAGAAATGAAAGTTATTTCTTCCTTCTTTTCAACAAGTCTGCTAAAGACAGAGGGAAGGGAAGGAGGTGTACGTATGTAAGAATGAAAAGCACCTGTGAGTGCATGAGGGTGATGCACATATTAGGGCTTTGCATCCTTAAAAAATAATTTAAAGAAATGCTTCAAAGCTCATGAAAACAACCGCACCTATCATTCATAAAATAGCTCTTCTAGTTTAGGCTTCTGCACAACCCTGAAAGCATTATGGCAGAGTCATAATGTAGTGTTGGTGATACATCCTTTTTCAGCCTTACACAAAAGCCTGCAATAAGCCATATTTTAATTAAAGGTAGAGAGCTGCTATGCTTGTGCTAGGTATGTACTTTTTTTTTGAAACATGTAGATTTCACATATGTCTGAGTATACTCACTTCCCAGCATGCATCACAAGAGCAGGATAGATGCCAACTCCAAAAGGATTGTTCCTTCTACACATAATCAACTAACAGTTGTTGACTGAGCAACAGGTTGATAGGATCCACAAACATTATATTGACTTCTTACCTTAATACCTTATACAAAAGTACTATATTTTGCATACAAGAAAACATTAGTATGAAAGTAGCTTTTATTTTTTACTTCAAAATAAACACATTAACATTTATTCAGAATACAAATTAAGGAAGATTTGGAAAAGAAGAAAAAAGTGTGTAAACAATTCTAAATCTATCTCCCCTGTCTCTTATACTAAAAGTTTAATTCAAGGGTTACTGACTTCCCCTCCCTTTTTGGGGAATGGGAGATTGTTGTTAGTTAAAGATGTACAATATGTCCAAACTAGATTAAGCCAAGAGGGGAAGGGAGAAGGGGGAGGGGGGGAGAGAAGCACAAATACAAAATTGCTCAGCATTTTTCATCTAATCTTGTGTATTTATCAAAAAATAAAATAAAGGAGGAGTTCAAAAACATTTGTATTATTAATTTGAAGAAGCTGATCTTCACCAAAGAGTTGTCTTATAGTTGAACTTTAATTTCAGCAGATACTTCAGTTTCACCTGAGCAATATCATAGACAATGTATCTGAAGAAAGTAATGAATGAAGGAAAAAACCAAGATTTTTGCTGTGTTCTTCTGTATTGCCAAATAAAATAGAAAGACATAAAGACCATCCTCCAAGTCCTCTCAGATTTCTCAAATGATTCAAGATGGGTGAGAATTCTAGGATTTTAGCCCAATACTTCTGAAAGGCAGCATACCGAGAGATCAGTGGCATGACAGTCGTAGTAAGGCACTTATTAAAGTTCCTGATACTGTATTTTAAACCAAGTAATGGTCTCTGAATTACCACTAAACGTAATTCAATATAGCATGTTGCAGAAGAGAGTACCAAAATATGAGAACAGCAAAACTTCTCCTCTCCACCAGAATCGATGCACCAACGAAAAACCCCCTCTCCTGTTCTCCAGTTACCACTTAAGAAGCATGGAGTATACCCAAACCCAGAACTTGCTTAGTTCCTATGCCACTCAACTGAAGGCAACTAACGGCAACTAAGTTAAATATTAATTTCCTTTGACTGCATGATCTATGGTATCATTATTTTATCAGGTTTCAATAGTTTTGATTGCTTTTAGATACTTATATGTTAAGATACTTAGAATTTTAGGAATAAGGGGCATGCAAATACATGGATAACTAAATAAAATGTACAGGTTTTAAAACTCTAGTAAAGCCTATACTTTCTCAGTTTCTTCTAATTATCAGTGACATTTATCCCAGAACTGTAACGGTAACTTACTGTACATACTGATGCTAAAAATCCAAATTTATTAGGACTGACAGTATTCACCTGCCTAGAAGCAACCACATTCAGGTATCCTCAATGGCTATTTATATTCCGTTCTAATATTGATCAAAGGATACTCATTATACATAAGAGAAGTATTGCTTATTCCAGATGGAATTCCTTTTCCTAAAGGAACATCTGCACCATCAAGAGAAGCAGTGGATGTGGGATCTGGGGCTGTTTTGCCCAAACCTAAATAGGAAACAAACAAATGACTGTAATTAAATCTAATGCATTCACATGAATATTGAAAAACTGAAACTCATCTGATCCAAATTATAAGGTGTTAATATAGCATGCAAAATGATTATGGGGATAGAATAGTTTCCCTAATGTTTAGGTTTCTTAAACCGTTTATTAATTGCAAATAGTTCCATCTGTCCCTTTTGATTTGCAAACAAGTTGGGACTATAAGCTTCTGTCTTCTTCAGTATGACACAGCAGTAGGGTATCAGGTTGGGCAAAGATGCCTTGTACATTTGGAGAGGAACTATTCAGTTATAATACAATTGATGGGTGTAGATCAGTTTTAAGATTATCATCACTTAGCACAAGCTATTTAGGTAAGATTAGATAAAAGAAATATTTTTAAATGGACAGTACCTATGTTTTTAAAGTATTTCTGCAAACTAGGGCACCTGCTTCTTAGCAAGTTTAGTATAGCAATCTTAATAATGAAGTTCTATTATTTATTAGAATCTAGCCTTACCTTGGATCAGCTTGTTTTTCTTTTCTGCCTAAAATATGTAGCATCCATGCTATATAAGCTCTGATACATTAACACTATTTTTTAATTTATGTCATCAGTTTGGTTTCAGATAAAATTATTAACTGAATGCCTTTTTGAAGGATGGTGGTGTCTTAACATTACATTAATCTGATTTAATGAGATTACTGAACAGTAAAACATTTTCCCAGTTCTCATAAACAAAAATCTGGGCGAAGTCAGTCAGTCTTGGATACAAAATAAAAATCACCACCATCTGTTCTTGAAGTTAGCAATGCCATTTCCAGCAGGCACTTACCTTTGACGCTGTGCTTGCCTTTTGGTAGCTTGGTTATATGGGAAGCATTTTTCAATTCAAACCTATCAAGCAGAGAGGATAACCATTTAGGAAACAATATTTAAAACTAAAAAAGTAAAACTAAAGGGCTTCTTGCTTCAGAATAAGGTATTTCCTATAGCTTCTCATCTGCTGTGAGACACAGAAAGAACATTTTTGTTTAGAGTAAATATATTTTCACATTTAAATTGATACTCTACATCGGTGGTATTTGACCGGTCTGGTTTTAGAGAGCTGGAAGGAGCGATGAGCAGCGGAGACCAAATCAGTTGTCTCCGCTGCTCTAATGGCTCTGCTGTTGGGCCCACCTGTCCGCCCAGGCTCCCATACTCACCTTTATCCGCTGAATTTTAAGCGCAACTGCTTTGCGCGGCACACAATAGTGCTGCACGGCAGCTGCTGAAGCAATCGGGAGATCGTGCAGGCTTGCAGGAGGCGAAGTAGAATGCCTCTGCGCCTGCGCAAATGCCTCTGCGCCTGCGCAAATGCCTCTGCGCTTGCACAAAGTGCATGTTTGGCATGCACATGCACACAATGTGTGTGCATGCGCACAACGCATCCACCAAACCATGCCCACCAAAACGTTGGCAACAATATTTAAATCCCACCACTGCTCTACATGCTATCACTGTAAGAAGATATCACTCACATGTTTCCAAGAGCAACTTCTCCCAGCAAGACTAGGCCTACAGGATCAATTTGAGAGGTGTGACAATAGTTGGCACTTTTGGACACCATATCTGCGAAGTAGATACCCTTGCCAAACATATAGCCAGTCTAAAGAAAAAAGAAAATTATTCTAAGCTCCCCAAAAGTCATCTGACTAGGAACTCCAATGGGGATTACAACTACCTGTGTAGAGAAAATTTTAGCTCTAAATATATGCCTATTATATAAAACAACAAAAAGAAACGTTTTTTCCTAATCTCTAGATGTGTTTTATTTTAGCCTTGGGAAGAAATGGTAGTTCAATGAAATTTTCACATTGGAGGGCAATATATTTTTCCCCTTTCAAATTAGAATGGACAGAAATTCTGTATTTTATTTATTTACTTTCCCTTTCAGTTCTGGACCTGCATCTCAATATCCTAGTTTAAATAAACTGTATTTCTACTATGCATGATTAGACTGAATAAAATAATTGGTCAGAAGTCATTGTCTAATTGCTCAGAGGTGGTGAGATGACCTTTACATTGTCATTAATCAATGTGCATTAATCAATGATTAATCTAGAAATATAGAACATCTAGAATTGTGATAGTGTAATTTCCTTCTATGTACACTCCATTGAGAGCACAGAAGAAAGTCAAGCTAACTAAAATGGAAACTCTACTAAAACAACATGCAATTCCATCCCCGAAACTGCAAGATTATTAGGATAGAATGTATTGTAAGTCCCTCTAAGAATCATATGTCTCGTATTTCTGAATTTTAACTCCCAGCATCCCTCATGCCATTGCTGATTGAAGCCTGCTGGGAGCTGAGAATTTGGCACCTGGAGAGTCACTAACACTGCATTAGAAAATTAGCATATTACAAACCACTGGGGCTTCAGGTGGAGCTATTCGGAGACCCTGTGACAAGATACCAGCAAAATTGGTAGTGCGAGAACCATGCCAGAGCAACTGGCGATTGTGTAAGTCCCTGAAGGGTTCATAACGTTGATATTCTCCATCACGTTCAATCTTGAAAATCTGGAAAAGAGGAGAAAAAATATGACTAATAAAACAGATATATTGAAAAATAATTCAATATGTAGAAAACCACCCTGAAATCTTAGGTACTGTATATTCTTTCATTTTTGTGAAGCTAGTCCCTGAAAGTCTCACAGTAACATAAACTATGCATCAAACTTAAATCCAGATACTTCATTTAATAAAATGAATATCCTCTATTGAATAAGCAATGTACTGAAAGCCATATTAAAACTGATTCAGAAAGATACTTAGGAGTGTTTAGGGGTACAAATGTGACATCTCCCTGTAGCTCTTTAAAGCAGTTGTGTTTCTTTTTCTAAATTACAATGGGATCATCCTACAAAAAGATACAGATACAAATGTTGTATTCATGCCTCGTGTGCACCCTTTTAGAACAGAATTTGAAATATCTACAGCTGTAAAAAAAAATCTAGCCATTTTTCTAAAACATCTTAAAACCAAGTTAGCTTTGAAAACTTTGAATATAATATACAAAAAATCTGACTATAAGTAAAAGAAGTGGTTGCTCATTGAGCTTTCTAAAAGTCAGAGGCACCAGAAAGAGCTTTTAAGGATGTGTTCATCCTCGTTGAATTTCATTACTTCACTTTTGTCCATCATTATTTTAGAATTGATTTTGTGAAGACAGAAATAGATGCTACGTTAGCAATCTGTAACTGGGTTTCTCCACATAATTCTCTTAAATTATGCATGCCATACTTAACTATGCAGTCTGCCCAACTTATATCACCTCTGTAGGCAGCCATTTTAATAAGATAATTACGTAGAGAAATCTAAAAATACATCTAGCACCTATTTCCCTCCTGGATTTTTATGTGTACAAACCAAGCATGTCCTTCCTACTTTTTGCAATGCAGCTTTCAGTATGTGAATATGTGCCAGTGAAGATTATCTGGAAGCCGCTAGTGGTATTCTGAGCACAATTCAAAGTCCCAACCACTATTTTTGAAGTTCTACATGGCTGGCCCACTAGGATTCTTGCTTCAAATGGAAATAAATCTACCCAGTGCAGGCATCTGATGAGAGGGCACTGTAACACTATTCAAGCACATGTGAATATACATCCCCTGGAGGTGCAGGGATGTATATTCAGAATGTAGCTATCTACATACAGTATATATGAAAGACATTCATTTCATGAATTTCCATGCTCACAAGCCTCAGATTTTGGGGAGTGGGAGAAGAAGCTCAGAATGTCCGCTCCATAAACATTTTGTATTAACTCTCAAGGTACAACACTATGAGAAGAGATTATGTTAACAGAAGTGAGGTAATCATGAGTCTTGATTACAGTTCCACAAAAGTATTATTTAGCAACAGTTACCTAGATACTCCAGCAACACTTACAGGAAAGACAAGTTAAATATAGACCAGTTCCTTAAAATACCATATCCCCCAATCATGAACTCACCTCCATAACTTTCAAATCATATGCATTGTGGGTACTTGCATGGGTGTTCTTAACATATTGTTTTATAATCTTGGCTTCTTCTGAATCCTTATCTACTACCTGTCAGAAAGTTGAGAAAAAATTCACTGTCGTAAATTTAATAATGTAGAAAAAGGAACCTATAAATGTATTTGATCATTAAAATGATGTACACAATCTACTCCTGAAATCCTGATCTCAGTGATCTGAATGTTATTTTTTAAGCATCATATGAAAGAGAAGCAGATACTGTTGAAGATACTATCTGCTTTGCCAATTGTCCTTGCAGGGTGAGACAGCAGAAGAACTTACCAACTGGAACATCCAAGCATTCCCTGGGCTAAAAGAAATACTGCCCTGAGGTAGAAGTATTGCTAAAGAGTCACTATATTGGTGTCAGAGGTGTTAAGGAGATGATGGAAGATGGGGAATACTTAGACCTGGGAACAAAGATTACAAGGGTAAGAAGCAGGAGAAGATATGATGGAAAGCTGCAATCTGGGAGAAGGGAGTGCTTTTCCTTTTATGTTGTTATCTAACAAAGTCTGGGTGATAGCCAAAGTACAGCCTCCAACCTAAAAGTCTTGTTCTGCCCAGACAATTTTTGAAAAACATCTAAGATTATAGTGAAAATGTCTCTGAGTCTATGGAAAGAATAAATTAAAAGAGTATCTTAAGATAGTAATAATGTTCTTATGACATTGTTTTTTCAAAATTACTTTATTAAAAAAAGAGCTTTAATCATCCAGATTTCAAGATTTATCAACATACTTATACTTTGAAACCTATGGATTTTAAGTTACTATTTCTAAAGCCTTTATTATCACAATTTTAAAGTTTTTATTTGTTCCTCTTGATTATTTGTCTCTTGATATTTTGGCAGGGATGTAACACTAATTTTAATAAAGAAATATCAGTTGCTATTCTTGCATTTAAGGCTGCAATATGTATTTGGCTTATGTTGCAAGAGAAGCTCATACTTGATTCTTATTCCTATGAGAAAACGATACTGGGGGACAATCCCTTCTTGAGAATGGCACCTAATCTTTTTTAGAAGCTCATGAACAACAAAAACCAAAATTTCTGATGAACTTTTTTGCTCAATCACTCTTCTAAAATATCTGTGTTACTGCAGGAACAATTGGAACTCATTATCCAATTTCCACACCTTCTTACATAATTTTGAACCAATTTTGTTAGTATTCTTAAACTGTTGCTATATTTGAAAATATAATAAATGATTATTTTTTACAGATAACTGAAGAATATTATATATTTGTCAATCACATTTAGATATCACATTTCCAAAGGACAATTTCTAGTTTGCAACCCAATTATTAAGACTGATATTGGCAGTGTGCAAGAAATCTTATATTGTATATGGGTTGATTATATATGTCTATTGTCCCCTATGAATGGATTTCATATCAATTTAAAGAAAGGATGGGTCAATAATTTGTTGGGTGGCCAAGTTGAATACTGAAAATGAGCCATTATATTTTTTAAAAACCTGGGCATTCCAGCATATACACGTAATTCATGTTATGTATGTATTGTTTTTCTTTTTTTTATGTTTTAGAGCATCATTTTCTCTTTCTTCTACATTAAAAATAACAAAAAAAATAGCCAAACGTATATGAGCTTCTACACAACCAAACTTTAAAAAATGGTTGAAATTGTTATAGATGAGCAGTTATCACTGAAGTACCAAAATGTACATCTCACATATACTCATCTAAATTAACCTTGGAAAGTTGGAAAAATATGGAATCAAAAGAGGATAACACACATCCGTGCCATTTTTACCTGAATATTGGTTTTGAGCTTCTCATAGTTCACATCTATTGGATCTTTATCCCCATCCTGACCACCACTTCTTAGAAGGCTATAAGCGACCTCTATGTCAAGCAGATTATCCAGCATTTCCACTTTAGTCTTGATAAATGAAAGATGCAATTACTTATAACAATACATGCACTGCACAGTCTTTGTGTTTATTACCTCAAGAGACTCTTTAGGATTCTCCAATTGCTATTTTCCAAAAAGTAGCAATAGTTACCTCTTCTGACAAAAAATGAAAATTCCCCTATTTTTTGTTTTACACTTTATGAAAGGAACCAAAGGATGATGGATTTGATTCCTTTAAATACACCCAATGCCCCCTCCTTTGAAGTATGAATCACTCCTGTAATAATAGTATTTAATTAAACTAAAAGTGATTGGCCACAGGTTTACCAAATAAACATTATAGGTGAGGCATGACCTGAACCTGAACCTCCTGCCCATGTCCAACAGTGTATTAACTGTTCAAACTGGATTAGAAAGTTGACTGTTAGGCTGACATAACTATCTTAAAATTACATCTATTAAAACATGATTTATATTATTTCTGTATTCAAGTGTCAGAGTTAAATGCAGAGTACCTTAATGTAGTCAAGGTTGTTTAGAAGTGGAGGCTTCTTCATCCCAAAGTCATGGGGAATTAGAGTGTAGAAGCGATTGGAGAGATCTAATATCTGTGAATCTGTGCCACCATCAGAAACTGCCTACATGAAAAGAAAAAGAAATAAAACTATAAGAATCAGCAGCAACAAATGCATATATTTGAGTTATTTGCCTTAGTAAAAAATTAGTTTAAGCTTAAATGTCAGTTAGGGCAGCATTTTGAAATGCTTATCTAACTTTTCTCAGTATGATGCCTTCCCAATCCTCATCAGTAACAAAGCGACTGAAATATGACATCATGGGATGGCAGGAGGTGAGAATCCATGATGTTAAATGTTAAACAAAAGCAAACATTGCAATATGCTATTTTCCCACATTCAGTTCAGGAAGGACTGGTCTACATGTAATTTCACGGCTGAGATTTCTCCCTCCATCCATTTTCTATAGCTGCCCAACTCAACAAAATGATTCTGGACGGCTTACAATTCTAAAGTTAGAAAAAAAATGAAATAATTTAAAAACAATAAAACCATTCACAAGATAAGTACAAAGCTATGATGATCTATCCCCTAATAGTAAAGCCAACTAAAGGGGCCCTTAATGCATTCCAAAGTCCAGGTCCAGTTACATAGCCAACAGGTTTGGGGCCATTCTAATGTCTGGGAAGAATATTTCATAAGGCAGGGGATCCAGCTAAAAGCCTGCCCCTATAGTTCCTGCCAATTGACACTCTTTGATGGGATTTGCAGCATGGTCAATCTGTTGGATTGAATTGGGATAGCTAAAAACTCTTGGAAAAAGACGGTCCCTCAGATCACCCAGTAAGGCTTTAAGGTGACAAGCAACACCTTTAATTTTTTCTATATTAGAAAATGCTCAACAAATAGTCCACTTAACTGGTTCAGAATTGCACCCTCTCTTTGACATGTTTGCCCCCTGCACTCCATTTTGCCCCTTCCTGGGCCCCAAGGAAGCTTCCTGGGAGCAAAAATGCTCCCCAACAGGCTTCTCTAAGGCCCAAAAACAGAACGAAGGGGAGCTGCTTCCCCACTCCGTTTTTTACCTTCCTGGGCCCCAGGGAAGCCTGCTGGGAGCAAAAACGCCTTCCCGGGAGGCTTCCCTGAGGCCCAGGAGGCAAAAAGAAATGGGAAGGGGGGGTTGTTGCAAAAAAAAAAAAAAAAAGCTATGCCCATCCAGTCACATGGCCTTGCCCACCTAGCCACGCTCACAGAACCGGTTGTTAAAAAATTTGAATCCCACCCCTGGCTACCAGTTAGATAACTTTTAAAGGAACCTACCTACATTTGTTGATGGTTACTATTCTTGAAGATTGTAAACTACTTCTGGAATCAAATGAATATTGCTTTAAATAGCTAAAAAAGGAATTGATCTTTTTACCTACCTGTTGCACTTCACTCAGGATCGAGTATGCGCTCTGTATCTGCCTCTCACTTAACTTCCCCAATGGCATCTTCTGGAGATCAATCTAACAACAAAATAAATGGTTCCAATTAAAGTAGAATTTTATTATGGGAAAACATTGGAAAACTGGCTGCAAAAGAAGATATAGCAAAAAAATTCTTAACCCAAGGAATAGAAATACAAAGAGAATGTAGGATGCAACTTTATTCTAGGCAATCCATTTGTGTGAAATGATTTAGCTTAATATACCTGTTCTCTTTAGATTTGCCCAATTAAATACAATTAAGTACTGTAAAAGTTTTTTTAAAAAATAGATAAATGATCTATGTGCATCTATTTCCAGATTATATTTTCACATTATGGGAAATAGGTTAGAAAATATACATTAAGACATAACTTTATTTTGCCAAAGAAAAATCACTATGTCATTCTTGAAGGATAAAGAATGCCTTTTCCCATCAAACTGCCTTCCTGGCATTATCATTCTGAGAATATCAAACTAATAACACCAAGTAGTTAAGCAAAGGATGAATAATAACCTCAAACTCCACCATGGCTTTCTTCATACTTTCTATATCAAAAATCATCTTAATAAGATCTTGGACAGCCTTTGGAAGCTTTGACTTGGTTCCTGCACTCACTGTCAGTTTCTTGACTGCTTCTTCATCCTATTGGGAGAGGGTTAGGAGTTGAATGGAAGGAACTTTTGTTAAAGCAACATACATTCACAAATTAAGCTACTTCTTTTCTTGTTTAGCTAAGGACAGAGAATACATGAAGTTCTCAATTGACCTTTGAAAGTTATTGCTACCCATACTTACTAGGATTTTCAGAAAATCTGGGACATTTTATTTCCACCCGTTGCAAGGAAACAACAAATTGGGCACAAAGTTGTTTGCATCCCCCTCCTCTTGCCCTCAAAGAAATAAATTGATTTCTAACTTTAGAGTACTTAGAAAATACCAGCTCTGATTTGGGATGATGATGGCTGGAAGATAATGTGGCATTGTCCATTACCTAGTCCTTTGTTGCTGTTTGAGAGACCTAATTCAAATACAGGCAATCTATCATGCTGTCAAATTTTGGATGATTTTAAGCAATGGCAGCTAGCATGGCCAAGAGGAATGAATTTAAAAATAACTTAATTTGATTTGATTAATTTTAAAATATCTGAAGGACCTAGATAACAGAACATTATTGCTTTTTTAAAAATAGGGGAAGGTTATAATCTGTAGGGCAATCTTTTTATATATTACTGATACTGATCTTCAGCAGATCCACATTATAAGATTATGGGAACTAAGATTAAATACAATATGACTGCCATTCCCTTTATCAAATGTTATAGAATCAACAAAGTCACACAAAGTCACATTTTGGGTGAAAGATGGTGCCTCTTCATATGCAAGGATTGAAGCAAACAAGCAAGGGACTATGAGTTCAAGTCTTGCCTTAACCATGAAACCAAGCTGGGTGACCGTGGTCCAGTCTCTCTCAGCCCAACTCACCTCACAGGGTTATTGTTGTGTGGAAAATAGAAGGAAGGTACAATAGGTATGTTTGCCACCTTAAATTATTTGTGAAAACAATAAGGGCAGAATATATGATGTGAAATTCCAGTTTAGAACATATAATAATAGGATTGGAAGGACCTTGGAGGTCTTCTAGTCCACCCTATGCTATTCCAGACAAAGGGCTCTCCAGTCTCCACTTGAAAACCTCCAATGATGGAACATCTGTAATGCCTGGAGGCAAGCCATTCTACTGATTAATTGTTCTCAGTCAGCAATTAATTTACTTAAGCAAGGTTGAATGAGAGCAGGTGACTAGTTTCAGATATTAAGTCTGCTACACAATGTTGCAGTAAATTTAAGTTTTCGGTTTCCATCAAACTATGTTTTGATTGCACACCAACACTAAATATAACCCTGTAACATACAAATGAATGAATGAATGGAGCTAACAAGTGTTTGCTATAGCGAAGTGTTTGCCTCAACACTAAAGTTTTTCCTGGTTACTCCAAAGCATGTTCTGTTATATGTAATCTTGACAAAGGAGAGCATATCTTTTTGAAAAGAAACAAGTTACCTGACCATAGTCGATCTCCAAAGGGTAGAATTTTTTGGGATATTTGGTGAAATTTGGGGAATGCCAGGAATTGCCTGTTTTCTCTTCATACAGATCTAGAAAATGTTCAACGGCTTCTTCTTTAGAAGGCATCTTCTCTAGCTTATTACTTCCAATTGATGTGCCAACACGACCCCATGAGCGAAAAACCCAGTACCTAAAGACAAAAGTAAATGAAAGAAAAATATGAAATAATCTAGCAAGCTGTCTTGAAAGGGAAGATATAAAACCAAGCTCTTTGTAGCACACGTAACTGTATTCATTATTACAGAAATTGATAATAAAAATACAAAACAGAGAGAAGGATGACTGTCAGTTCAATATTAGCATAGAACAGCTTCCTGTGCTACATTTAGTAACAGTATGCTTGGGAAACAGGGATAACTGGTAGGAAAGCTTTGCCTAAATGCTAATTCAAAGTTAATCTACAAAGAAGAGATTTATATATACAGTGAACACCCCCCTCCTGACATTAACTAATTTGGCATCATTTAAACATTGATTTGAGTTTACACACATTCAGTAGGCTGAGCATAAGCAAATCTGAGTTTAAAAAATACAGCTGGATCATATATATATAACAAAACATTACCTTTTTTATAGGACAAAAATTGCTTGGAGGAGTATAAGTGTGAACCTACTCTAATGCAGCTGGAAAGAAATATGCAATTGTGCTGAGATTTGGATAGAATCTACTAGGTGAAAATGAGTATGGCCCACCAGATCATGTTGTCGAGAAGCATATCTAAGCTTGGTAGGGGCCACGGTATGTTTACTGACAAGAGTATATATAGAAATAAACAGACATGGAGTTTCTGCTGTACTGGAGCTCACAAAGGGCTTTTATACCATCAACTATAAAAATTATTGTTACTAGATATTAGGCTAGTATTAAACCAGATAGTTAAGAGTTGCCTACTTCTCTGCAACTAAGTTCTTTTATCAGACAAGCATAAAAAAATAGAAAACTTAACATCCTTGTCCTGTAATGGCTAAGATGAAATAAAAAGTTTATAGTTCTTTTTTTTTTGCAATAAATTTTTCTGCTGTGCAGAAAGAACACTGGAAGTTTTTTTTCTGTGATATATCTCAAAGCTAATAGAAATTAGGTATTTTCTGCTTCTATTAAGATATTTTAAGTTGGCTGTGCTTTTCTGAATTTTATTCCATTTAAGTTGCATACTTTTTAACTTGTGGGGAAAGTTAACTTTGGAATTCCATGTGGGGGGATGAACGGAAGGCAAAATCAATAAAGTAAGCTTCCCTCTGCTTTTTTTCTTATCTGTAGTTGTGTAAGCATGTTACAGATAAAACTGCTTTATATATTTGTATTGTACTTCATGAAAATCTAGGCCTCTACATAACTGAGTTTTAACTAAGGCTAATTAAAAAAGCAAACTAAGTTCAATTGAAGTCATTCCCAGATAACTACAATTGAAGATTGGTTTTTATATAGGGTACAAATTGTTCTAGTTTTGGATTCTTATCACCTGTTTAAGAGCAAGAACAACTATTTAAATCAAACAAATAAAAACTAAGTAGAAATTTGCATGTGGTTATTGTTTAGAAAAGGAGAACTCTCACCTGGTCTCTCTGTCATCCTCTAGCAGTTGAAGTTTGTAATAAGAATTTGTTCCTTGGACAATATCAACTAGACCCAAAGTGGCACTGAAGATTTTTCCACTTTTTTCAAAAACATGTGCAGAATCTTCCAGACCTATTTATGTATATAACAAATGTTAATTCTTCCTATTCCGAAACATATTCCATCCTATTCAGATTATTAAATTGATCGTAAGATTGGAAAAGTTGGAGTTTTGATTTCTCATCCACAAAGGAGAATTGTAACTGCCCTTAATTGATTTATGGCAAATCATGTTGCTTCTTTCAGACTTCTAGTACTGATTGCCAAAATCACAAATTTATTTTTCCAAGCATCCATACTCAGGGAATCCTATCCTGAATATATAAAAGCCTTGTTCCAGCTCCCAGAGTGCCAATTTCCTTGTTTTGTGCTAGGAAACATCACACAAAAGATGCTAGGTAAAAAACCAGAAGTCTTACTATTGTTTATCTGATCATAAAGTATAATTACATATATATAGGATAAATTGTGGCATCAATAGGACAGAGGCATTAATACCACTCATGCATTAGAAAAACTGGAAAAGCAGACCCAATAAGTGAAAGCAAGGATATAAGAACATTCCCTGGCTGCCCAACTTACTGATGTGAGAAAAGGGAAGTAGAATTATTTTTATGAAAATAAAAATACCTGAATCAGGATCGACAGCAGCCCCTCCTTTAACTGTCAACTTCATTTTCTTCTCAGACTTGCTTGTTCCTAGATAATGACGGGAAACAAGGCAGTAATTTCTTTTTCTCTGGGTAGACAGAATTCATCCATCAATTTAAAAAGTATAATTAGGTGATTATACAAATGCTCCTTACATCTTTCAGGAACTAATTCAACCTGTAATGCAAACTGATCATTTGCTGAGTTACTCTGTCCACTGTGAGGCAGTCTCTAAGTTTCCAATAACTTGATAAATAATGTTATTTAGCGTTTGAATAATATGTTTAAATTGCCTTTGGGATTATTTTAAGCTTTGTAGGACTTTAATATTTTTAAGTGAATATTTTACTGAATATTTTTTTTGTTTAAATTATTTTAACGTTGTTTTAATTTTTAAATGGTTTTATTTGCCTTTGGAAGTATTTTAACCAATGAAAAAGCAAGACAGGAGTAGGAGTAAAAAGGGTAACGATTCTTAATAAAATGTGTAATCCCCAGTTCAGACTAGTCTAGAATATTAGAATTGAACATAGTACAGATTATAAATCTTATAAATCAAAAGAACCGTTTGCTTTTTGTTTAACCCCTGTTAAATCCAATCACCTACCTTGCCCTCAGATAATTCTTTTGCAGCAATTTCTAGAACCTAGCGCTTAGGGTACCTAAAATTCTTATTTGAGACACAGAAGGCATATTTCTTGGATTTGTCAATTTATGTTTTCCTGAGATTACAAAAGAATAATTCTAAAAAACGTAGGTCCTTCAACTAAATACTATAAATAGAACTATGGGCTTCTGTTTGGAACAAAATAAGGATATAGCAATTGTTAACAGACAATCCTATTCAATGTCAGTGATTGGGATTACAATTCCTATTACTAAGCAATGCGCAAAATTATGTAACCATTTCACTTAGCAATGGCAATTCTGGCAGTCCCAACTGATGGTGTTAAATGAGGATCTCATTGTGATTTCTGGCATCCTAGCGACTTCCCCATCGATTTTGCTTGTGGGAAGCAGGTAGGGAAGGTAACAAAACATGATCATGTGACTGCAGAACTCTGAGTTCTATGCTGTCATAGATTTAAACCACCTCTGAATAAGCAATTATTAATCAAGGACGACCTTATTTAGAAAAGAAAACAAAAAAATGAGGATTCAGATATTTCTTTTGAATTTGGAAAATGGACCTCATATTTTAGCATTCATTTTACACTACAGTGGCATAAAAGTTCTTGGCAGTACACAACCTTCCAGTTTAAGATTCAGGTCAGCCTTCTCTACACAGGAGGGATTTCCTTTGAGCTATAGCTCCCTCCTTGATAAACGTTGCAGATGACCATAGTCCAATACAAAAAGAGGGTGCCAAGATAGAATATGCTACCTTAGCAATAAGGTAACTGCAAATAAATGGCTTTAATAACAAGTAAGCTTCAGGCAAGTTCTAAGGAACCTGAAGTACAGAATACCAAGCATTTCTTGAAGAGATCTTTCAGCTTGCATATTTGTGCCAGAAGCAACAAGCAGAATCTACTATGCAGATACTCAGTTCATTGAGACTACTCTTGCATATCAAGATCTTCTTATCTAGCTAGCCTTGAACGAAAGTAAGCCTCCTCTATTCAGCTTCCCATGTTCCAGTTGGCAAGACAAAAGGGTTCATTTCTCCTGTTCTTTAGGCAGTGGAAGGGCACACTATAATGGGGAGGAGGATTTCCTTATCTAATCAATGGATGGTTCCTTATGGTTCCTTCCCTTTGCCTGGTAAAAACTGCTTCACTTATTTATTTTTAGAAGTCCAACAGCAAGTGCAATAGAAAGAAACCTGTAATATAAGTGTGGCCATCACAGGTGGCAGCTTTTCTTATGTTTTTTTCCACAAATACATACCTTTCATTCTTGAATTGCCTCTGTTTAGGACAAATCCTGAAATGGCTATTAAGGATCCTATTCTAAATGTTAACTAAAGTTCTTAGTAAGAAAATGGCAGTCTGAGGTGAAGATAACTACTACTATTGTGGCTTTTACCTTGCTCTTCCTTGTTCTTCCCAGAATTTTTCAGGTTTGCGTGTCCACTGGATTTTCCACTCACAGATACTTCTTTGTGTTCCTGCTTTACTTCTGTACCCCAGGGAGACACCGCATGCAGTGACCGAAGCTCCTGAAAACCCTTGCTGGAGCTTTTTATATCCTGGAGGAAGTCCTCCGACACCACACACAAATGGGCTTTCTTTACTTCTTCCATTTTTTTGTTCATTTTCTCAACTTCCTCTGTAAGATTTGAGGGATGGGGGAAGAGAGAAGAAATAGAAAGGGCAAGGCACAGTACGTTATCCTTTTTTAGCTCAAACAGCAGAACACACTAATTTGCAGGGTACAGGAATTGTAGTGCCTGTATTTGTGCCAGAAGCACCTACAAAGCTAACCCAAGAGTGCTAAATGAATGAGGGCTCTGCTGGAACACACAAATCTAGTTAATCTAGTATTGTATTCCAAAAGGATAGTTTCATCTGCTCAATTGTAGCAGCCCCCCTTTATTTTTCTGATATGGCTTCCTCCCCTCATACAAATACCTGACACTGAGGTCAATTATCATGATCATATACTGTATTAAGCATGATCTCAGAGCTTCTAATGTTATATCTCCAGAATTCTATTAAATCCTATGTTCTGGTAGTAGATTTATTAGTTATGTTGCCAAAAGAATATAATCAGTATATCAAGTGTTTAAACCAGGGATGTCAAACTCAAGGCCCGGGGCCCAGATCCAGTCCGCGGGGTATTTAGATCTGGCCTCTGGAACGGCCCTGGAAACAGTGAAGGACCGGCCCACAGTACTTCTGTCAGTAAAAACGGGCTCCCAAGCTCTGTTTTCGGCTCTGGAAAATGCTGTGTGGCCCTCCTGAGCTCTGTTTTCACTGGCAGGGGGTTGCAGGAGGCCGTCACAGCCAAAAGCGGAGCTCGAGAGCCTGTTTTTGTTGACAGAGCACTCGGGCCACTACAGTCATGTCGAGCTGGCCACACCCATCCTGGCCCCCCAAGGTCAAACCAACCCTGATGCGGCCCTCAATGAAATCAAGTTTGACACCCCTGGTTTAGACTTGTGGGAACAGATGCACAAAATCCCTATGAAAATCCCTACTAAACTGAAACTGGCATATATTGTGACTTTAGAGGGTAAATTTAAAACTAGGCAAGAGTAGATTAGATTTCCCAGAAAATAATATAGTTGGATGGTAGCACACACTGAATACATACAATATATATAAAAATTACTCTGTTTCATGTCTTAGTTCTAAACTCAATTTTTAAAAGGGAAATGTAAAACTTTGTTGTGATGTAAGCTGGCATTCACAGAATAGCTTTTTCTCATGCATGAAATCTACATCCTTTCTGTCAATCAGGAGAGTTAATACCTACCAACACTTAAAACCACAGAGATCCTATTAATCCCTCCTCTTTCTAAAAACTTAAGTTTTGTAGTTTTAGTTCCAGTTTTTACCCTTCAATGTTTTCTGCTGACTCCTCAAAATCCCCCCCAAAAAAATTCCATTTCCTTTGTTCTTAAAATTATATTGATATCAATACCAAATGGACTACCATTTGTCTACCCTACAGCAAGATGGGTTGAATCTTTTACCCCACAAGCCCAGCTTTGCACCACTAAACAGCATTACAATTGAGAAGGCAGAATGAAGTAAAGAACCAGTAAGTTAACAAAAATGAAGTAAAAACAAAAGGCTAAATCGATGGTTAAAAAGATTATTAGTAACATTTATAGGCACATAAATGTTTGATTAAAAAATAGACATAAAAGCAAACTAAGGTACTACTTAATTGTATCAAATAAAAGCAGTCAAAATCAGATTGTATGTAAGATACAGATGAATGCTCTGAGTTCCTTGCATTAGCTACTAAATTTAGTACAATCTACTCTCTTCTTTTAGGCCTTTATTTAATGTAACATTAAACTGCTAATGTAACATTAAACTCAAATTGCTATTGAGAATGTCCCTGTTAACAGTATCACCATCTACTCACTTTGAGAGCTGATGCACAAGTCAGCTTTATTCACAGTCACTGTCACCTTTCCCCCAAGTTCTTCAATGATAGATTTAATTTCATCCTTGGTCTTCGACAATTTCCCAAGGACTATTATCTTCATGTTGTTTAATGGCTTATCTGATCAAGTGAAACCACAAAGCATATAAATATATTACACTTTTACTGTATACACTACGCTGATTTTTTAATGTGTCACTTGAAAATCTTAGGTTAAATTCTTGAGCCGGTGTCATTTTTTCCATTGCAGAATACAGTTATGCCCAGATATATATTTTTATTCCATGAATATTACAATGCAATTTAAATACATTTTATGCATAATAGATGGGACTTTATTCATATTTAAGGGTATGGGGTGAGAAAAGATGTTCAATGCTTTCCTTCAAGAGAAAAAGAGTAATTCAGTTATTATGCAATAAGCAAGGGTTGACAATGTCAGAAAAAACCTTCCATTCTGTTCCAACAGAATCCACCATTCATGTGGAAAAGAAATAATTATGAAATAATTTCATGTATGAAGTGTTTGTTTGAAAGTACCATTCTATTAAAATTGTATTTTGAACCAAAAACATGGCTGTTGTAGAAAAGACAGTAAACTTCTTAAGTGTTTAAAAGGTTTTGGAGAATGAGTTTGGAAATTAATAGGTAATATCCAGGGTGTCATTATGTATGCAGAGTGTTCTTATAGGTTTCTTTAATGTTTTAAAATAGTTGTTAATGATAATAGCTTTAAGTATTATTTCTTTTAGCTTTGTTGTATGCTGTACAAAGTCACTTGTTTATGAGATAGGCAGCTCTATAATAAAATAAAGAAAAGCATATTTATCATACTATACAAAAGCGTGCATAGTTTAGTGTAGTATAACAGAGCACAGCATAGTACAGTAAGAATCATAGGGCAATTTGTTCTGAAAGAATAAAGAAAATTAAATTGTAATCTGGTTTATTCATTCTAATGGTAAATAGCATTTTTCAGTAGGTAGACTTTTTTCTTCCCCTGTGGGAATAGTAATATTTTAATGAAAAATTAACATGTCATGCTTTTAAATCAAAACAGTTTCTCACAATGGCCTCCAGTTAATATTACCTGCTGGTGTAGCTGAATTCTCTGTAATAGGATCAGAAACTGCTGAAGGTGGTACAGAATTTGTAGAAGCAGCCTCTGGCGATAATGCTCTATCCCGCTTTTTAAATTTGAATTTCTTTAGGTAAGGGATCTCCCGGAATTTCTGTTGTACAGAAGGTTGAGGAATTTTTTTTTTAAAATAGTAATAAGAAAAAAATTCTCATAAACTAATACAATGAAAATAGGCAAGCACATTCAGGGGTAAAGTTTACTATTTACTATTTACAAACTCTTCATATCAGAGTGGGCAAATCATAAATAGTGATTTACAAATATATAAATAATTTCAAATAAATCACCAGAATCTTCATAACTTAATATTTCAAATAAAACTCTAAAAAAGCAACAATAACCTTGTAATGGCTCACCTTAAACTAAACATCTCTCACAGGAACAAACTAGATTGAGATAACAACAAATCACAATGATTGGACTGAAGGAGACCTCTCTTCATCCTCTTTTCTAAAAAATGCTGCCCTTACATTTAGAGCAGTGGCAGGTAATACTGAATCAACTTAAAAATGATCCTGTAGACTCAAAGTATAAGTGATTTTTTTCTTAAAAAACAGCTGTGAAGCTGGGAAGAACTAATTGGTCCAATTCCTCAGTTCTGCTGTAATTAAAACATTAAACATTTAAGTGGAGTGAGTTGATCCAGACTCTATCCATCCCTTGGTTTCAATATCCTGAAGCTTTATTGTTGTATCAAATGGTTGTCTCTAATAAGTCGTAGTTTTGTTCTTTTCTAATTAGTAATAAAATGTATAAATATTAATTATATTAGGGATGGAGAATATTTGGGCTCCAGCCATTCTGAACTAAAACACTCAGTAGCACCAGCTGCCTCTGTTTTATATAAATGCAAACGAGGTCATACATAACCATCTTAAACTGATTCTGCTTCTCTATTTCAATATTTTGCATGTATCTCTAGTTGGAGATCTCTAAATTGCGGGCAGGCAGCTTTTCACCAGTTAAGGACCACACTTTAAACCCAAATCATGAAACAATCTGGGGAAGTTTTGAGGGCTGCAAAATGATTGCTGGGAATGCTGAAAGCTGTAGTCTAATAAACCTGGAGGTCACTGATTTTGGGAAAGTTGCTGCTTCCATAGGTATTAACAATATGCATCTCAAATTTTTCATTTTAAAACTTGACATGTATCATAGTGATACCAATTGAGTATTAAGTCACAAATTAAATAAGGCCTGTAAACCAATTAAGCACTATTGCATAGTACATTCATAGCACACTGACAATTCTCCAGCAATCTCACTGTATGGCTTTATCCCCCATCAATCCTGTTCAACCAACATCTTCTTGGCTAGAGATCAGAGGCAAAAACATTTTATTTGTTCATAAATTTGAGCAAGGATAGGTTCAGCACATCAGGTTCAGGTTTAGCAAGCTGTGTTTTTTGTCGACAATGGAAAGCAACCTTGCATGATAGATATGGAGAAGCTGCCTTCACTTCCTCGTCTTCCTGTACCTGGACGCAGGAGCAGGAGAAGGAGAGAGAGAGAGAGAGAGAGAGAGAGAGAGAAAGGCAGCCTAATTTCTCCAGATTTATATCCAACTTCCTTATATAAAAAGGAGAAAGGGCTGAGAGGGCGTGAGTGTCTCAGAATGTTGGCAGAAGGACTTCGGCAGAGCGAGAAACGGAAGAAAAGAAAAAGGGCACAAACATCTCATAAACAATGTTAATCAATGTGATAACAGGAAATGGTTTAGCCAACCTCACAGCCTACCTTTGGGATTGTCCATTCTTTCCTGTTGGGCATCTGTGTCTTGGCAACACATTTGGTCCAAGCTGTAATATACCCTGTGCAATAATAGGCATTGTTCTTGAACACAAACTGTCCTTTGCACTCTTCACAGGGAAGCAGAGCTCCAAAAGCCATCCCATCTGCAACACAGTCCAAGATCTGAAGCAATGAAAAAGCAAAAGAAGTAAATGTGTAATGCCCAGTGCCACAGAGGCCTTATTCAGAGTATAGGATGTCAAACAAATTTCAACCAGAGCTCCCCACTAAAATTATAGGAGTCCCTCCTCTTCACCTAACCTCTTCTCACTGACAAGTTGCAGTGGCCAAGAAGCCAACAATAACTTAAGTTCCCAGAAGTGGACTCATCTGTCCCTCATCTTGTTGAGACTTATTTTATCTTCTGACTAGGAAGGACAGCCCTGGAACTGGACAAAGAAACCTGAGAGGCTCATTTGGATGTCTAACAGGAGTTTCTCCCAGCTTGCTTCAAGCAAGATGATGTATAAAACTACAACTATTTTAGAGTTAAAATATACAGAACACAAGTAGCTGACTCATTTTGTGGCTTCTGCATGTTTTGCATTACAAATACTGTACTATAACCTCCAGCCATATAGACATAAAAGAATCCCTGTGAAAGATGCACCCATTTCATGCTGAGGATTCTTAGGAAAAGAACCAAATATAAAACTGCCAGCATATCTATGAAGAGAGACACTTGGAATATGTTGTTCAATTCTAGCTACCTTTGTGTGTGTGTGGGGGGGGGGGGGGGGTGTTGCTGGAAAATTGCTGCAGTTGTTTTCAAGTGCAGGAAAAAGTAACAAAAATTAAAATTTTGAGGACTGCTGAAATATCAGCCTTGTAAGGAAAGGTTACAACTGTTTTTCTCTTTTCTTAATATTAGATCCTGGAGTCACTCAAATGAAGCCAAATGGTGAGATATTCATGGCAAATAAAACAAAAAGTTCACACATGCATCAGTAACAACAAATCCCGAGGTAGAATGCCACTCACATGGACAACTTTATGAAGGAATTACATCTACTAATGGGAGAATGGCATCAATAGCTTACATAGCTGGATGGCCATCTACTCTTCCCAATACCAAAGGCTGTATGCATTTCAACACTGTTTGTTGAAAAATATGAGGGCAAGGATCCTACACAATTGTTTGCTTGTGTTTCTTTTAGGCATTCCACTAACCAGTGCTAGACAGGGTGGATTTGATTTAAATCAAGTCAATTTAAACCACGATTTAACTCACTATTAAAAGGGTTGATTTAAATCATAATTTTTAAAGAGCAATTGTCATTTCTGTCCCACAGCGACAGAAATGACCCACTGTTGACTCATCAACAGTCCCATTAACTTTAATGGGATGGCTGGTGATATGGCAGTGACACAACAAGGTGAGGGACATGACGGTGTGTGGATGCCCGCTAACAGGCGCTACCATGATGGATCTGAAATCACAGGTGCTCTTTAAACATAAGGAGTCATTCTTGCTTGTAATTAGAATCTTTAATATTATTTGCAAACAAAATGAAGGTCCCCTATTTAGCTTGCAGAGCTTGATTGAATGAGTTTATCAAAAATATAAATATTGCCTCATGCTACATAACCAAGCTCTATTTTGGGCTAAATAAACTAAATTATTATTGTATCTTAAATAGAAAACTATTTTTAGATAAATTTTTACTCCAAAAGCATTTTATTAAAATAAATTTTATTTTAAAAAAATCCAATTTAAATTTTTTAAAAAATCTGTTTTAAAATTTTTTCTTAAGAAACATCAATTTTTATCCGCCCTGGTGCTAGAACAGAATCTGAATTAAGCTGGCCTTTGGATTCTTACAGGAGAAACATCCATTACTCACGGAGAGCAGAACCTGTGATTTAGGTTACAGCAGTCTGTAGTCACATGCTAACAATACCCCTAATCTGTTGATCATCAGAACTATGACAAAATGCAGCATTATTATCAATTGCATCAGGACCTTCATATTCTAAGAACTTAGTAGAAGCATTGAATTGACTGTTTAATAACCCTTTCTGACTCCTTAATGGTATTCTGTTTCTGATATCAGGACTTCCCCCACAATTATTTAAGATACACTTACAGGTAGCCTTTGACTTTCAACACAACTGAAACCAGTCTCTCGGTTATTGAGCAAGACGCTGTGACTGCTTCACTGAACTATTACAATCTTGGCATTCGCAATTGTGGATAAGTAACCGTGTGGGTCATTAAGCAGGCAGCAAAAAAAGCTGTCTACCAAAGGAGGGCTGGCAGCTCCCCTCCACTGGAGAACGAAAATCATGCGCTGGGCTGTAGAAACAAGGCAGGGATCACAAAGATTCCCACTTCACCTCTCCAGCCCAGTGCATCCCCTTCCCTCCAAGTGCATAAGGGAACTTGTGAACTGGGCTGGGGAGATGAAGCAGGAATCCCGAAGGTCCACACTTCAATTCTGTAGCCTGAATAGTGGTTTCTGTCCTCAACCCCTGATGCATGGAGGAGAGGGGAAATCTTTTGGCAGGCAGTTAGCAGTTTGCAATATTCCAGCTAGCTTCCTCTTTGAATTTCTGGGGAAGCCAGCAGAGAATATTGCAAATCACAATCTTGACAACTGTTCCCATGTGCACAGGTTGCCAAGGGTGATTTTACGGTAGCCAGAAATTCTTTAGAGCGTAAAGCACCCTTTCTGAGTTGTCATAACTTTGGACAGTCATTAATGGGGCGTATGTTAAAAACTATACTGACAACAGACTGCCTTTAGATGCCACCCTTGCTTCCTAATTTCATACCCTTTTATGAAAACCATTAAATCCACCCTAGAAAGTTAAATTTCATTAGACGCAGTCCTTACTTACCAATGGTAATCGGGGCTAGGAGCTTAATTGCTAAGTGATGCTGTGACCATGCTGACTGACTTAGGACAGCAGTTCAGGCAGACATTGTTGCCATTATTAGGTGAATCCTGTTGAGTCACAACATCCCACAATCACATGATTGCCATTTGCAACTCCTGCCAGTTTTTCCACTGACTTTGTTTGTCAGAAGCTGGCAGTGAAGCCTTCAAAAGGCAATCAGGTAACTATGAGGAACAGTGGTGGGATTCATTTTTTTTACTACCAGTTCTGTGGGCATGGCTTAATGGGCGTGCCAGGAGAAGGATACTGTAAAATCTTCAGTCAGAGGCGGTATTTGCTGGTTACAACTCAAAATTTCCTCTACCAGTTCTCCAGAACTGGTCAGAACCTGTTGAATACCACCTCTGATGAAGATGCTGCTATATCTGCAACTACAAGGATCCATTATCAGTCATGCTTATTAGGTGCTGCTGTAACAGTGAATAATCACTGAATGAGTGGTTGTTAAATACTACTTGTGTTAATAGGCCCAAGCCATATTTCTTGAGTTCTTTTATCTTATTAATGAAATGTATATAAGGCCACCCCATTCCATAATAACTCTGGGCAGCATGCAACTCTAAAAGAAAGGAAAATGAATGGAATATCCAAATCAACAGAAGAGGGTAACAACCTAAGGGGATATAACACAGTCCAAAGAGCCTTGCTACCCAACCTAGGCCAAGGCCTAAGTAGAAAAAAAGTTTTTAAGCATCTTTTGAAGGAGATCAAATTTAGATCCATGTAGATCTTTGAGGCCTGCAGACATTCATCTCACTTCAATTAAATTTGCATGAGCATTAATATTTAGAAATGGCTCAGTGTCTGTGTGTATGTGCACTCAAATAGATAAATAAATACAAAATCCTTTTCTTCTTTTTCTTTCCTCATTTCCATACAAAATGTCAAATAAAATGGAGCTCAACTCACAGCAGCTTCCCCGGAAGGAACTTTTTGCTTGTTGGCTATCAGGAGCTCCTTCAAGTCATTGGTAGAACAGGCTCTCTTCAAGTCATCTTTGATATTCCAAATCAGTTCTGTCTGATCCTGCAAGTAAATAAATGTGCAAAGTATCACATGTGAGATTTCTTTTCAACACCTTGCTACTAATAATAATAAGAGTGGCAGGTTTATAGAGCAGACTCAGTTTATATAATTCAGTACCGTTGCTTGTATCCCTACATGAAATATTATTTGGATGATGGTTCAAGAAACAAGAGATTGCTTTTAGATATTTAGAATAACCAGAAAGTTATGTCAGGCTAGCATGTTCTCACTGAGACTTGACTTGCAGTTAAACCGAGCTACCAAAATATGAGACTGGTTCTAAATGAAAGTTGGTAACATCGTCAGCTTCTTCAGTATTGTCACATTCCACTTACTTCAAGCACCCTTCAGGGTCAAATCATATTCAAAACAGTGAAACTGCAGACGATAGCAGTCTCCATCAAGAAGTCAAATTACTCTTACAGTATTTTGATCTCCTCATCAAAAGATGCTTTAAATGAAACTAATTAGTCATAGCAAAGCAAACCTTTAGCAGCTTTTCCTGTTTTGATAATTTTTCTTTCTCTTTCTTGGGTCTCTTTTTTGAGATCACATTTGCATCCACCTCATCTCCTTTTCTCTTTCTGAAAGGAAATAATACATACAATGTGCTGAGGAGAGTTATTTAAAGTTATTTCCCCAATTTCTTGTAACATATATAAGATTAATTCGGTGTACAATTGAGTGATTGTATACAGTGAGTTTATATAGTGTATATTCACACGCATGCATGCACACAGAGATACCAACCTTTCTTTTAGAAACAGGATGGTGTACTCTTCCTTTCTTCTTGCTTTTCCCAATCCTGAACCAGAACCTACATTATGTTGGCTATCAGCTTATGTTCAATACAAGTATCCATAGCATTTCATTAAGGAAAAGAGATTACATAGAAAAGTTGACTAGTACAAATTCACTGCAGCAACTCTGAACACCAAAAAAAGGAAACAGACCGCCTACATAATATCTTCCAACAATATGGATATCCACACAACTTCTATGGAAAAATGTGTGACCACTCAACACAATCAACACAAGCTATGAAAGGGATAACATTACCATACATCAAAAACATCTCAGAAAAAACAACAGACTATTACAGTCGCAAAGTATCACTTTAGCACAATAAAGCCCTCCAAAATTTCTTAAATAAGCCAAAAGACCCAATAACCCAAGAAGGGAAAACAGGAGTCATTTGCAATGTACAAGATAAGGACTGTAACAGCCACTATGTGGCCCGACATGCAGAAGAGCTGCACAGCACATCCATAAACATCAACTAACATTCAGAGCACACAATGAAAGCTCCTTAATTTTATAGACTCATAGTTTCAACTAGGAAATAGTGAGCATGCTAATAAATCAAGATGAACCCCAAAATGCTAGGGAATTTCTGGAAGCTTGGCATTCAAACAAATCAGCCATCAATAGAGATAAACCATATTCGCCCGCCACTCAAAAGACACAATAAAAACACTAAAGAGATCAGAGCACATCCTCTCCAGCAGCCTACAATCAGACCATCATAATGGGGTATGAGCAAGACTAATTTCTGTTGAATAGAACATCTTGTCAATGTTTATATTTTGGATGTACTTGAATAACAGGTTGATACAAACAATTATATGAGAGATTCCAGTAAAATGAAGAATCTAATTTCATCTATCCATGAAGGTGGCCACCTTGCTAGATAATGGGTTGGAAAACTCCACACACAAGGCAAAAAGGCACCTCAGAGTAAATATCTGAAGTAGAAGGTAGTAGATAATTAGATATACACTCACTATTTGGCAATGTGGATGTCAGCGTTCCAACTAACAATCTAAACCAATAAACTCAGAGACAAACATTTTCTCAAAGTTCTATTTTATTAGAGTTGTCATATTGGCACATCTGGGAAAACTGAATATGAGAGTTCGGGGTTTTCTCTTCTCAATAGAAAGTCAAAGATCCAACCCCTGTACCCACCAGTCCATCACACGGTCCAGTCAAACACTGTCCCAACTGGACATTCCTCGAGCCACTCTTCTCCAGGTGCAGACTAACTTGTCCTTTATTTCAAGAAGAATGTTGTTGAGTCTAACCTTCCACTTCTCTATGAAATGCCCCCCTCCCATTTTCCCAGACAATGTAAAATATGGCTTTCAAGGCTGATACTGGAATAACTTGATGCTCATACCCCCAAAAAGGTATTAGATTACTGTCCTTCAAGAAGCCTCAGCAAATTAAATTACACTGTGGTTGGTAAAACAATGTTCTGTGGTTTAGAAAATTGTGGAATTCAGCTAAGCATTATGTGTCCACAAAATGTCCATTTCTAAGGAGGGATTTTTTTACATGTTTTTTTTCTTCTGTTAGGCAAGATCCCTTCTCTAAAACTGATGGAAACTAGGTCCAGAAAGTGGCATCTATCTTCCAGTGTTTCAACTATTACAGTAGCAAACTTCCCTTTCTGATCAAAAACTATACAGTGATGGTATCTGTACTGAAAGCTTAGGTTTCCAATTTTGCAAAAACTAACAAGATCTAGATTTCAGCTGGGGGTCAGATTTTGAATCTAAAGCAATCAACATTTTAGGAATTATTGAGGTGATAATAACCTGTGGTTATAGACAATAACTTTGAAGGCATTTTCTGAGATCTAAATCCATATTTCTTTTTCTCTGAAATCATTCCTAAGATATATCCATCCTTAGGTGAAATAATCACATATCCTCAGTCAACTTTCACTAAAAATACATAACCATTGGGTATGTTTGTCAGGTAACACAACATTCTGTAGAGCTTTGACTTTTGAGTAGACAATATTCCTTCAGAGTAAGTAGTGGACTCAGACGTCAGAATTATGTGAATCACAATAATAAAGATAATGCTATTACTTATAAATATTTCTGGATTATATTGTGACTTTGAGCTTTCAGAGAAATTTCATGTTTGCCAGAAACAAGAATTGAGGCACTGGAATTACTGTTAAGAACATATTTGAGAATGGTTTTTGCTACTTTAAAATCCTTCCTTGTTTTACTGTTCTCATCAGGAAGAATATATCTCTGCCACTTATGTGGTGTGTTTGTGTATATAAGTTGGTGTGTGTGTTAGTGTTAATATTTTATTTTTATCACAGCGACTCTGAAATAACTCAAGACCACTGCTATTAAATCTCTTGTATGAAAAAAATCAAAATGGGAAATTCAGTAGCATGGGGATTTGGAATTAAATGGGCTTAAGAAAAACATTCACTTAATGATCCTTTCAGAATCTTCTTCATTCTATCTTTTGCTCTGTGACTGCCATTATTTTCACTTTTCAATTCCTTATAAAAATTGGCAAATGATCTCCAGTCTCTTAAGTTTGGGCATGATGCCAGTGCAATGGCTTTGTCGAAAGATGCAAGACTTGAGCATTCACTGAGGACTGTATCGGGAATTTTAAGGAGAAAATTAAGGAATTTGCTTTCTGCTGCAGTCTTAAAAAAAACAGAGCAATAGAAATAGAAAGCAAAAGATAATGTAGCATGTAGGGGAAAACCCAGAAGGATCTGGTAGATTTGTTAAAAAGATAGTCAAACACAGTAATGGATTATGACTCCTACTTCTCCTGCAGCTATAGAACAAATGGCGTAGGTTTTTGTTTTTGCTTTAAAAGACCTATATAGAGCATTTTATGAAAACACATCCCGAAGTATAGAAAATGGACAACTTGCAATAAGATAAAAATAATTTGAAAGTTATTGTGTCAGAAAACAACATTAATACATTAATAAAAAATGGAACAGATCAGGGGTCACAAATCCCTGGTCCGTGGACCAGCACCAGGGCACCACATGCTAGCAACTGGGCCGTGCAAACAAGCGAAGCCCCATCTGTAAGATGCAGGCAAAATGCAAAACCATACCCCCTCCTGTCTGTGGAAAAACCTTTCTCCACGGAACCAGTCCCTGGTGCCCCAAAGGTTGGGGACCACCGGAATAGATGGATAAGAGCAAATATTTTTTTTAAAAAAATCCAGATAAACGGGTCTATCTTATAGTTATGAATGAAAGCTAGTAAAATTCAGCACCAACCATAACTAAACTGAGACTGAATTCCACAACACAACTATGTACCAAGAATGCCTCCTCTTATGTTTCTGCATTATGTGGCACCCTCTATAGGATCCTGGGTGACCAGCAAATTCAAATGCTCCATCACATACTTTGATTCTAAAAGATATACATTTTGTATGTCATTCCAAGAACCTTGTACAAACTGGCATCCAGTGCAATATCTTCAAATAGGCATGATACATTTTGTCCTCCTCAGCAACCTAGCCTCAATGTTTTGTACTTCCTGCTGATTCTGGACAAACTCCAGGGTAGACCCAGCTACAATATATTGCAATGACCGGTTGTTTAGACTAGTAAAAAATGAGAGAAGGGGAAAAAACACAGAAGATCTTTAGCTAAACAGAAAACAGATACTGTATTTACATCAGCTATCTAGGCAAAAAGGTATAGCTTATTTACATCAAAGAAACTTTGCTTCCTTCTGCATTTATAGTCACTTTGGATAGTGAGATGGACAACATATAAATTTAATAAACAAATATTATCATGTTTCAAGCAGTAAAATAGAATAAGCAACTTGTGGCCCACAAACTCCTTACATATGACTTCAAAAACTACTGTAATGGTGCCACCAAATCTCAGTGGCATAATACCTTAGAAATCAAAGTTATTGCCCACCATCTTGTTGAAAGCAACATATACAAATAGCGTAAGTCTAAAGGTAAGCTTGTCAAGAGTTATTTTTAAAAAAAATCCTCTTGCAAAAACAATAAAAAATCCTAAGAATTAGAAAACCTCCATCTGCCATGTTGCATTATCACTCTGATCATTGACAGCTTGACATCTTTAAAAAGCTTAGTGCATTTACTAGCTAGTCTGCAGCTACCTCTCCATAATAGTGACTACTGGAGATCTTCCATAGTCAACCTAAGAAAACATCACCCACACTGGTGTTTTAGAGTAATCGGTCATCATCAAAATCAGGGGTCAACAGCATGACATGCACCTTTTTTTGGCATCTTTTACATACCCTTCATTCTTGACAGAGGGTAGCTGCATCTTTAGAGTTTCTTTGTCTTCTGCCTTCAGGAGCTCAAAGCCCTGGATCTGAGAGGCATTAAAGGTGGGAAGAAACCCCAGATCTGTTCTGCGGCTACTGAAACAGGCAAGATGGTACCAATTGTCTATCATCCCCAGCTGTGGCTTTTGAGCAAGCACCATTTTCTTTGAGATTCTGATCTGACCCTGCACAGACAGGAAGAGAAATTAGAAACAAACTCACAAACAAACAAAACTAGGCAAATGCCTACTAAGGTTTCAAGCCAGGACTTTAATATTTTTATTTATTTTATTAATAATAATTCAGAATAATGCATTTTGGGTTTTCTTCACTGTTTCTGGAAGTTAAGATCAGTGTTTCCAAAAAACACATTAATAGGAGCTTTGTTTCTGAAATAAAAATGGAATGAGCTCCTACTGTTGAATATAAAACAGATTCTTTCAGTCCCAAATGTTTTCCATTTTTCTCTTTCACGCACACACTAAATTCTCTCTATCCTTTATTTCTTTAAATAGAATAGAATGTCAATAAACAAATGGATAGATATTATGTGTTACTATATAGACCAAAAATTAGAAGGAAAAAAATTACTCTTCCACCTTCATTTCAGGAATAATACAGAACTGTTAAAATTTCAAGATTTCATGTTACATTTCTTCAATGTCAAAGCTTTTATTTTATGACTATACAACCCATTAAATCTAGACCATGTGAAATTTCAATTTCTATCTTGCCTCTTCAATTATTATATAATCATAAATGAATTCCATTAATGTTTTATTCAAGGGAGACTATGAAAATGGAGTATTTAGACCATATTCATTGGGATTTAAAGACAAAAAATAATCTGGGCACTCAAAAATAATCAGAATTTCTGATTTGGAGGGATGCTTTAGGACAGAGTTCCCCAACTTTTCCGGCTTGGACTGATACGTGGGTGTGTGTATGTGTGTTCAGCATGAGCTGTGGGCAAGTGCGCATATAGCTCCATTTACGTGAGCAGTGGAGCATGCTTGCAGGCATGCGCTCTCCTGCTGTTCGCATAAGGGGGGATATGCATCCAGGCATTCACCCACTGCTTCAGACGTCTTGGTTTTGAACACCTCATAGCCCAGTAGTGGGCTGTGGCCCAGGGGTTGGGAAGTTCTGCTTTAGAAAACATTTCTGCCATTAAAAACAATGTATCTGTATCTTTGTGTGAATGTCTACGTCTTTACACAGAGAGCTACCCATGTTTACCTTTTCTATCTTTTGTTCACAACCTTTGCAAGTACTTCTATTGGACTTTGCATATTCTGCTGCAAAATCATTTAAGATTTTTTCACATTTGCCACCTCCTTCTTGGCCGCCACCTTTGCCTAAAAAAAAAAAGGGAAAGGAATAATTTTTAGGTTCTGATTTAGTGAATCCTGTGGGACAACAAAAATAAGATACATAAATCGGTTAGATTTGCTCAGGAATAAATAAATGCTTTCTGAGACCATACTAAGAAAGCGAAATGCTTGGTTGCAATTAATGTTTTGTAGAACAGGGATCACCAACCTTTTGGACCTCAGGGACCACCAAACTCATAATTTTAAATCCCAGAGACCACTAACCGGTTCTGTGGGTGTGGCCTAATTTGTACTTGTACTTGGTGGTCATGTGACTGGCTGGGCATGGCTTGTATGTAAATATTATAAATATTTATATAAATATTGAATTTTTTATTAAAAAAGAGCAACTTTTACCCACAATCAGGCAAAGCAGGCAGGCAGATTGAGTTGCTCACAGAATCATTTAGTGATCTATCTATGTGCCATCGGCTAGCTCAGTCTGTCACATAAAATTTGTTTGCTGTGAGTCTGCACTGAATAATAGTCCTAAGGGAGGTTCGGCTGTGCTTAAAAGTAGAGCCGAAGATCTAAAGACTAGCTAGAAAGCAAGAAATCCAACCATTTCCTCTTCCTAGCTAAGAGCTGATGGTTGGAAAAAGGAATTTAGCAGGCAAGTTGCTGAGTAAAGAGCGAGTGGGCGGTGAGGGTTCCCGTGGTCCATGTGGGCGGCACAGCCTTGTGTTTCTGTGCAGCCTGAATTAATTGCTTTGGGGGGGGGTGCTCTGGGGGTGACATTTCTCTGCGGCCCACCAAAATTTTCTCGCGGCCCACCAGTTGGCGACCGCTGTTCTAGAACATGCAAGAATGATACCAGAGGACAAAAGCAGTAGTAATTCACTGAAACTTACTTCCAAATAATTTCTTAAGCATTTATATTTTGGAGACCTTCTAACATTTCTCCATTAATGAAATCTGCTCTCAGCATAAAAATAACAGCCATTTCTCTTTCTATTACCAGTAAGTAGCTCACCTGCTGCAGCTCCTCCACCTTCTATGTGTTTTTTAATTTTTTCCTGGTCTTCCCAACGCAGTTCTGAGAAGCCCTCCAGATCAGCATGGGACAGCAGCTGAGCTTGTTTCCAGAAGCAAGAATAGTGGTGCCAATGAGGTACTTTGCCATCAAACATAGGGGACTGAAAAGAAAGAATGGCAGGGGGGAGAACCTCAGGCATGTAAACCAATACAACTGAATTGGGTAAGAAATAATGCCATACAGTATAATCAGAATCCAGACAAAAATGTTGGATTGGAGCACCAACGGATGAGCTTCATGTTTGGGGTGGTTGATTGAATAATTACAGATCCAATCCTTCTTATCATATCCCATCTTTTTAGCTAGGTTGATTTTACACTATAGTATTTATATTATGATAAAATATACAGTTTTATTTGTTAATATTGTAAGCCACCCGGGGTGACTGTGTGGCAAGATGGGCGGATAATACATTTTATAAATAAACAACTTGTGTCCATCTATGAGTACTGTTTCCTTTTCTATAACTGCCCATGTCCAGTTATTATCAATCAGGGTGGATTTGATTTAAATCAACTCAATTTAAATCACTTGTAAAAAGGCTTTATTTAAATCAACTCAATTTAAATCATATTTTTTAAAGAGCAACTGCCATCTCTGTCCTACAGCTCCTCCTCCTCCTCTAACCAGCTGTTGACTCACCAGACAGTCCCATTCACCTTAATGGTTATGCGGCAGTGACAAAACAAGGTGAGGGATGCGACGGGCAGCAAGCACTAGCTACCATGATGGATCTGAAATGACAGGGCTTTTTAAATGTAAGAACTCATTCTTGCTGGTAGTTAGAATCTTTAATATTATTTGCAAACAAAATGAAGGTTTCCTATTTAACTTATAGAGCTTGAATTCACTGAATGAGTTTACCAAAAATGTTGCAGAATATACAGCCTCACACTATATAACTAATCTCTATTTCATGCTGAATAAACTAAATTATTAATGCATCTTAAATAGAAAATTATCTTTAGTTTTCTACTCCAAAAGTATTTTATTAAAATAAATTTGATAAAAATAAAAAAATCCGATTTAAATTTTAAAAATCTGATTTTTTTTTAATTTTAAAAAATCACCGATTTTTATCTACTCTGTTATCAATAGATTTGCTGTTCAGATTTCCATAACATCCAGAAGTAACTATAGTTCCTCTATTCCTTTTGCTTCCTTCTGCGCAGGCTTTAATAAGAATTTGGAGATGCAACACTGCCTATATTGAACTGTAGAAAGTTAGCACCCACTCCTCTCCTAGAAGAATGAAATATTCTAGGAAATATTAAAAAGGCAGAATATTATATTTCCCTGGATGAGAAAAGGAGAAATATGTTTTAAAGACAAAGCAGCTTCCTGCAGCTTCCTGTTCCCCCTTCAGGTCTAGGGTGATGGGATTAAGGATGGCCCTCAGGAAATTATAGGATTACCCACCTCACCACATAGTCTGGGAAGATTGCATTAGTCAGCACTCAGGTGAAGCCATGTGGTCCAGACAAAGTTTACAAAGTTAACTAAGACTCCAACCCCTGGGAGTCTGACAGCCAATGAGATACATTTCTTACACAGGAATAGGAAACATTAATGTGGGTTAAAAACCTCATTTTTCCCAATCAGTCTCTTCCCAACGATGGCACTGCCAAAGAAATATAATTTAAGTTGGAGTGGTCTTACAGAATCCAAACTAGTTTCTTATGACCTCTCAATGGAGTACCTCCCCACTTTGGATTACAATTAGGGCAGTCATATGCTCCTTCAGAAGATAAAGCATGTGCAGTATCAAGTGGAGGTCAAAGGAACCTTGACAACAATAGAACCTGGATCCCAAGGTTCCCGGAACCAAAACAAATATATGGCATTTCTCAGTTTCCCTAGGTTGAAGAAAGGCACAGTGTAACATCGTGCCATTCACGTTCTTTCTGGTAAATAGTGAAAAAAAACTTGGCTCATGCATTTGAAAAGAAATCAAAACCATCACTCACATACTGCTGTACCAAATTTTTTTATAGGGATTTATGGAACTCATGCTATCTTGCAACAACATCCCAGACAGACAGATATTTGGTATATAAACCTTTTACTTTCCAATTCCAATGCCAGCATCCCCAATACTGTGCCCAAATTTTCTGTACCATCAAATAGTGTAACCCTGATTACCAAATATTTGTTTTTATATACTTTTACATCTTATTGTAAAAGTACAGATAAAGTACGGTAAAAGTATGGATCACTGATTGCAATAAAGAGGTTTTTCCAGATTAAAAGTACAAGGCATTTAGTGAAAGAAGCCTCTGAATCATAATTATTAGTACATCAAAGTCTAATCTAATTTGGCAGTCACAGTTTTCTCTTTCAAAAACATTTTATAAACAACAAAAATGGCTAAAGCAAGACATTTCATAACAATGAAAAGGTAGAATAGTAGCTAAAATAGGATAAATTTGTCTATTAAGTATTGTTGCTAACAGATTTACATCACTGAAGACTTAACTAAACAAAAATATATTAAATAGTACTGTAACAAATAGTACAAGTTACTAGGCAAGTGTACAAGTACCATCCAGCAAAATGGTTCCATGATCACCAATTTCCCCCATTTTACAGAACATCCATTGCTACCAAGTTTGTTTGTTTATTTCTTTCATAATACAGTCTTCAATATGGAGTGAATGAGTATTCTATTTTGGAGCAGGGTTTTTTTGTTGTACTTGAGAAGGTAAGGTCTACAGAATAATTCAGCATGAACAACTATATCCAGCAGTAGTTTTCTGTAGCAAAGTTCATCTACACGCCAAGGATAAGAAACTCAAATCATCTTCCTGTTCCCCTGCTAATATATCTAAAGCTGCTTGCTCTCTGCCTGACCTACTTTTCTAGGTAAGAAGTTATGAACAAATGCTTTTTCATGCTCCTCAGAGAATGGAATAAAGTATACATTGCACAACAATAGGTTTTAAGACATTACACTATATATATACTATCATTATTATTCCAATTATTTCATTTCATCCTATTGCAATCAAGCTGCCTTTGTTTGGGGAGTTAAAAATGGTCAGGATTACCAATTACATTATTTTATTATTATGTCAAATGGAGTCAAATTCACAGGCTTATTGCAAAAATAGCAAATTATCAAAGAGATGGAAGAATGCAGTATTGCTTGGCTGAACAAACTCCTCCTAACTCAATAGATATACACTGTTTTTGGCAACAGATCAGACTAGAGTAAAAACTGTATGCTGGAAGACTTTATGACCCACTGCAGAATACAGCATTCAAATTCAGATTCCAAAATAAAGATTGAAAAATATGATTGCAGTGCATGTCTATTTTTAACAAAGCAAGCAACAGCTGTCCTACATTCTAGATTTTAAAATCCTCTCCAACTCAAAGATAACGATTCCATATGTCAACTCTGTCCAATATATGATTGTCCCAACTCTATTAATTCCAACTAGACTGGGCATCAGGATCAAGAAATTTGTTAATCCCAGGGAAAAGCCTCATTCAAAGTTGTATGAACATTTACTCGGAACTGTGCACTTCGGAACAAGCCTTTAAGAGGGTAGCATTATAAATCATATTGTAAAAAACGGGGTATTGGACTTGGTTGTGAGTTTTCACATGAAGCATAGTCATCGATGGGGGGAAAAAAGGTGAAATCCACCACCCACTGCAGGACGAGCAGCTAAACCCCACGGCGCTAATGGGACAACGTGGGAATGGACGAACTACTGTCAGTTCAAATTTCTCCACCCAGACGTAAAAAACCCAAAGAATTTCCTCCTAAGCGAAAAGATAAAGAGGCATGCAGCTTAAGGAGGCCCGATGGCAGAAAATGACCCTGGCAAAAAATGATTTCAAACTAGAATCTCTGGAAGGTCCTCACAAGAAGGGAAGCTATGAAAGGGAAAGGGCGGTTCCTCCTGCGCAGCATCCTTCAGCAGCCTTGACCCATCGGTGGCACATATAACAAAACGGAATCGAACCGATTCCGGGGATCAGGCGCATAGGGCAGCGGCGAACAGATGCACGAGGGGCGGCCACAAAGACGATTGATGATCGCCTGCTTCTGCAGGCAATGTGGCGCTCCCGGGCCTGGATGGCCTAGGGTGAAAGCCTTGCTTGGCTTAGGCTCTGAAGCCTGCTAAAGAGGGAAGATAGGGTCCCCCTACCTGCACCATGATGGCCAGGCGGAGCGAGTCCTTGGCGATGTTTTCCTTGCATTTCTTGCAGGAAGCCCGGCCGCTCTTGGCGTATTCGGCCCGGTAAAGCTTCTCTGCGGGTTCCGCCATAGCCACCCTTAGACCCGCGACGCCCCCAGGGAAAGCTTCCCGCTGAGCCTCGAGAAAGAAAGCGGCAATTTCTGCTCGGCGGCGGTGGCGCCAAGATCGTGCCGAGCGCAGAGCTCGTGATCCCGCCCCGTCCGAGCGCCTCAGCTTCAGCGATTGATTAGCCTCGCCTCGCTGTGGAGCTCTTCGAAGGCCGCCCGGGACGATGGATCCTTCCGAAGAGGACGAGACTTCAGCGAGGAGGGTGGGCGGGAAACCCTGGTGCCTGATAGGGAAACCACGCGGTCGGGGATCACGTGCTCAGGGGGCTTTCCTTTCTGCTTCCCGTTACGCCTCCCACTCGGGGCCCGGTAATTTGTTTCTCAGAGCCCCCGGGACTTTCCCTGCTACCGCGGCCGAGGGATCACAGCCGCGCCGACTTCTTGGGAATTCCCGGTGTGTCTGAATGAGTTTGGATACCTCTGTCAAGGTCTCGCAGGATCAGAGCTGTTGGTCTCTCCATAAGCATGTGCGTTGTTTGATTTTGGGAGGCCGGAAGGGAGCAACTCGGAAAGGACTTGCCATTAAAATCTTTTTGGATTTTTTTTTCTAAATTCACAGTATAGCCCATAGTTCTGGGATCTTCTGGTGATCTCCGATTTAAATACTAATTATACTACAGGTAGTCCTCGACTTACTACAGTTGACTTAGTGACGTTTGTGCAATGGCACTGAAACAAGTGACTTATGACCATTTTTCACACTTACATGACTGTTGCAGCATCCCCGTGGGCCCTTGATTTACATTCAGATGCTTGACAACTAACTCGTATGACAGTTGCAGTGTCTTGGCGTCATGGGATCACCTTTTGCAACCTTTTGACAATCAGTCAATGGGGAATCCAGATTCACTTAACAACCGTGTTACTAATTTAACAACTTTAGTGATTCACTTAACAAATACAGCAAGAAAACTTGTAAAACAGGGCAAAATCATTTAACGAACTTCTCACTTGCCAACATAAATTTTGGACTCCATTGTGGTGGTAAGTGGAGGACTACTTGTATTTAGGTAGGTCCTACCTAGCTTTTCCAAAATAAGTCAAATGTAAATCCTACTAGGCTCAGGCTATAATGATCAGCATACCAAATCCTGTTAAAAACAAGGCTGCTGTTAAACAAATACATGCACAGCATAATAAGGCAAACACAAATTACAAGCTAAGCACATAGTGTACATTTCAATTACATGCAAAATGCCATTTAAAAATCTCTGCACTTCCTTCCCCACTCTTCATTAAAAATTCTTAACACAAAAACAGGCTTTTGGGGGCAGGACAGAATGGGATAGCCTTGTTTCCAAATGAAAATAGTTACTGGGTTGAAAATAGTTCTTGTGTGCCTCCATGAGGATGAGGAAGAGAAGAATTCTCATCTTTTGGATTGATAAAAGTGTCACATTTTTCTTTGCAGGGCAATTCTTTTACATATTAATCAGCCCTTAGCTGACCTCATGAAACAAAGATTTTGATGATACTTTGTACTTCTGGAATGCCAGGGCATTAAAGAAAGAGGCATATGTTTTAAAAGTACCTCTCATTTATAGTTGTGTCTGAGAACAGCTAATAAGAGCTAGGAAGAAAAAAAGTCTGATAAACAGGACAACTGTGAAGAGGTCAGGCATACTGTTATGATCCACCTGTTGATTTTGGCTGGCTAAATGGGTTATTTTGTATTTTGAGAAAATTTATATCTTGAGAAAATGCAAAGCTTGTCCATTCTTACCCAAACAAAAAAAATTCATTCATATAAGCATATTTATTATTCATGAAATACTTTATTCATGAAAGGAAATAAAAAGATAAAAAATACTTTATTCATGAAGTAAAATAAAATACAAGTAAACCATGGTTGTGCAACTGCCCTGCTAGGGGACCAAAAGTCCATTGTAATAAAACCATATCTTTACTTTTTCTAAATGTAGAGAAAGTTTGGACTTCCAGAGCAGAAAATTCCTTAATGAGAGTTTGCTTACCAAGAAGGGATTTTGAATTTGTAACCTACCTCTCCATCACAAAAGGATTCCAAATATGTTTAACAGTGGTGACAAAAGATGTAAACACAAAACAGTAACACAAAGTAAATGATTAAAAATTTTTTAGGATTGTTATAGTTTCTTTAAAAGCAAATGTCCTCTTCAAAATAAAGTAAGGCTCAATCACCACTACAGAAAAAGGAGTATGTTTCAGTGAGGGAAAAACACAAGAAGGCCTTGTCCAAATAGCTGACAAAGTTGTTTCTGCAAATGGCATTTTCCGAAAATCTTGTTAATGGAACAATGGCAATAATTGTTCCAGACTCCCTATAAAGTGTGGGGGACACATCAAAATATAGTTCAGTACAATAAAATCTTGATTTAACAGATCTCTCTTTAACTGGATGGATGGAATGGACTTTATTTCTGCCTAGGCATCTCCCCTCAATTTTATATTGCTTACAAAGTAGTGATTTTATATTAGTTACAGTGATTTGTGTTTGTGTACTGATAGAATTACTCTGTTGATGTAAATTGCTACAAGTGACCTAGTTTTTGATTTAACAGACATTTGGAGATCCCAGACTTCCATTCCCCAAATGTCCACTTAATTAAGTTTTCATTGCATTTGAAATGAACAAACTATGTGCATTCAAGGAAATAAAATTAATCCATCAAGTTATTTTGACATTTTAGATTTCCGTGAATAGTTTATCCATCACAGAAAAAGCTCTCTATCTACACTATTGAATCCAGAAATGGAGAACATCTCAAATGGGTGTCATGCTCCGGGGAAGCTTCAGCCCGAAGTCTGATTCTTGTATCTCGTCCTTGGTTTTGTTTTTCAATAATTCACTGTAACACTTTCTAAGTGTGATAACAGCATAGCCTAAAAATATTCAGTATGAACAAAAAGCTTATCTGGAGGTTATAAGCCCCTTAAGAAGATGCCACCTCCTTCCCCTCCTTTAGCAACACAGACTAGTGGTAACAATCGCACAATTGAAAGAAAAGCAATTTCAGCAATTGAAAGAATGGAATTAGTTCCTGGCACAGGAAGTCCTCAGCTTATGACCACAGTTGGGACCAGAACATTGGTCGCTAAGCAATGCAGTTGTTAAGTGAATCGTGCCCAATTTTATGACCTTTTTGTTGCAGTTGTAAAGGGAATGTGACATTCCTCATTGACTTAGCTTGTTAGAAAGCCCCACCAACAAATTACAAATGGTGATAACATGATCTTGGGATGCTGCCATGGTTGTAAATGCAAGGACCAGTCTTAAGTCACTTTTTTCAGTGCTGGTGTAACTTTGAACAGTCATTAGACAAATTGGTCGCAAATCAAGGTAGGACAAAATTTGCTTGATGAAAAACTGAAATTGACAAGTATGATGTCTATAAGAAAATAGGTAGCATCTAAATAAAAACAATCCAGTATATTAACTTCTCTCACATCACTTAATGATAGCCCATTGGCATTTTAATATTTTAATATTTCTTTACTTGAATATCCTTTTAAGGAGATGTTTAGCTCCTAAAAAATGAATTTCATAGTTTGACCATTATTTATTTAATTTATATCCTACCTTGTGGCTGAAAAATGGCATTTGAGGCAGGCATTGGTAACAAAAAAATCAACAGTAACATCATTAACATTAATAGAACTGACAGAAACAAGCAGGATTTATCCAATTTGGCAATATACCATCTTTTAAAGCCTGCAATATTTTAAACAAGTGGAATTCTTAAGAGTTGTCCTCATTTTATAAAGATACAAAAGCCTCTCTATTGGTTGATTTGTGAATTTTGTTGGCATATGGCAGTTTCTTTAGATTGGTTGTTCATCATTTTCATATACTTTATTTGGGTTTGGCTTAGAATGTGGGAGGAGGGAACCCAAATTGCAACTTATTCTACAACCATGGCTAACCAAATCATTGCTTGTATCAATATAACCTTAGTTGTTCGGTTTAAACATGTTGATATAGTTCTTGAACTACATGTGTATCCTGTTTCCAAACTCATCCATGATTAGTTATTTAGATACTCAGGAGAATAAAAAAATATTATATTAAGGGATAAGAAGATGTATAGTTCTTTATTTTAAAAAACTGGGAATCAAGGGGTCTGTCTTATCTATATGTAAACACAATTTTTGTGCTAGATTTGGCTGGAGAATTCTTCAATTCAGATTATATTTGTAGCCACTAGATGTCAGTATACACAAAGCTAAAATACTGCATATGTTCAGAAACAAAATGCTCTTAAATTCTAGGAATCAAAAACAAATTTTGTGGTTTTCCCATGGGGGTGAGGGAACAGCAGTGATGTTATTTGTAAGCATAGCTTTGCTTTTACAGCTTTAACTTATATCTGTTTGGCCTATTACTAACTACTGAGCTGTCTGAAAGTGGAGGGAAATAGGATTATTCCTTTGTCTCCTTGCAGGTCCTGCCTATGAGAAAATACATCCAAACAGACCTGGCAGTGTGAGGCAAGAAGAGCAGAGAAGATAAACCCTTTTAAATACACAGAAGGGTTACTTGTGTGCTGTTGGATTTTGATATTGGGGGAAAACATTCTGGGAGTATGGCAAATAGCAGAGTAGATCAAGATATCATTTTATTTCTTTATTTTATTTGGTTTGTCAATTGCTTACAAGATAATAGGTATAAGTAAAAACATAGTTATGAATACATGGATACATATAAGAAAAATAAAAGAAACAATAGGACAGGGATGGTAGGCACGTTGGTGCACTTATGCACCAGACCTCTTAGGAAAGGGGTGAGGTCAATAGTAGACAGTCTAAGGTTAAAGTTTTTGGGGTTTGGGGAAGAAACCACAGAGTCAGGTAGAGTATTCCAGACATTGACCACTCTGTTGCTGAAGTCGTATTTCCTGCAATCAAGTTTGGTGCGATTAACCTTGAGTTTATATCTATTATTTGCTCTTGTATTGTTATGGTTGAAGCAGAAGTATTCATTGACAGGTAGGACATTGCAATGTATGATTTTATATACTATACTTAGATCAGACTGAAGGCGGCATAGTTGTAGGTTTTCTAGGTCTAGAATTTCAAGTCTGGTGGCATAAGGTATTCTGCAACAAGTAGAGGAGTGGAGTACTCTTCCTGTGAAATATTTCTGGACTTTCTCAACTGTGTTAATATCAGATACGCAATGTG